AAAATGATAGCAAAATAGACATATAGCTGCAATATCGTTCTTCTGCAGCACAGAGCGGCGATCTCAACACCGACATCACCATCAATTCCCAATTTAGATGTTTAGTTTGTTCTACTTTTTGACGGACCTTTGTTTCATCCCATTAAAATAAAATGTCGTTATCCATGTATCATTAAATGATGGTTAGGTAGCTATTTGTTCGTAATCAGGAGGCTCAATTGCGCTATACATCGCTTGCAGTTGAGTGTGTCATTCTCACTTGATTTACTACTTCGTACAGATGCTAGATGTTGTACCTTTATGGATTAGTTATGTGTTATCACTCAAGGGATTTAACCCATAATCATAAATGTAAACTTAAGCACTAGGCTAATAAGAGTTTGGGTCTAAAAATGTATTACGTATGCATGTAAAATAGACCCTGATTTGCAATATGTTTTTTCAACAGAATCGACCGGCGTTAATACCAATAAATCAACAGGTCAACAGCCGCATCCAGGTCTTACTTCAATACAATGTCCAGACCCATGTTGGCAAACAAGCGCACCAAGGTGGAGTGGTAACTATTACCAGTGAGAGTTTATTATGAGAATGACCCTGGCGAGGAAGGGTCTTATGAGCCAAGTAATGGTCATCAAGTACAAGAACGGCATCACAGAGACTTGGCTTGTGAACGGCGTCAAGGCTCTGAGCGTTGCAGACGGCGTCAGAATTTAACATCTAACAAAGATATGTTCAGCACGATTGCCTTGAAAGCATAGTAAATGCTACGTGTTTTTTAACCGTTGAAGTTTTAGTACTGCGTTAGCCTCATATCTACGGCTTGGTGAGCTGGAAGTTTTGCTGCTGCTTGCAATGGTACCTGGGGTGCGCACTGATGGTCCACGCCCTTGACACAATCACCGACAATCTACTTCCATCCACACCCGCGACTGTCTAGAATAGTCAGCTTGAGATGCGGACGAACGGGTTGGAAATTTAAACGCAAGACACTCAAGCCCCATTGCCAACAACATCGACTGAAGGACGGCATCAAGAAGAGAGATGGACGAATGGACAGCTCAGCAGGACCTCCGAACGAGGCGACCAAGCTTGAAGCCGACTTAGACAACTTGAAGTGGACAACAAGTCACGCTGTTCAGCTCAGGAGATCATGTTGAGACTCAAGACCCGGGCTCTAGGTAACTTGTGGAACCGAACAGCAAATAACCTGTCGTGTCCACATGAGACATGTTCAGGGTCGGACAGAACTCACCTGATTCACGTCTTCTGGACATGCCCCCATGCCAAGAGATTGTGGGACCACCTGATAAGAGAATGGGAAGGCTTCGGTGTCAGCTTTCAAGGCAAGCCTCTAGAAGCAATCTTCGCACTTCGACTACCAACTTCGCCAGCTCCATCGGCGCTCGAATAGCTCAGCGATCTGTCTGCGGAGGAAGCAACGACCTTGATGCACCCAACGGCCAACATGGTGTGGCAATATATGTGCGTGATGTTTGTGGCGGCTGTCTGGCACAACCGAATCCAGGTCATGAGCGGTAACCCCTTCGTATGCGACAATCTGGAAACGCTTTTTAGAATAACAATTTCACGCCTGTCGACGTGACTCCGGGTTCTCTGTATTCTCTTCGACACGCTATGCCCTAAGACGACGAACTCAGCAGTCAGAGTACTCAAAGCGATCGTTGCTATGATCACGAACTAAGCGGATCTCCCAGCAATCTCTCTACCCAGCATGGACTCGGCATACCTCCTCGACGGAGGGTCAAGAGGCAACCCTGGTCCAGGCGGTTCGTGTTCGATACTGGTGCTCATAACTCGCGAGATATCGACCCCTACGATGATCTGGTTCGCGTCTATAGCTAATGGCCATCCAACTACCACGAACAACAAAATAGAATATGCAGGCGTGTATCATGGACTTCGCTACGTAGTGTCACACGGATGCTCGCCGCTCTACGTGATCGAAGACAGCTCGACGATCATCAGACAGATGCGAGAACATCGGCCTCCAAAATGCACACCCTCTGGCGTAGTTAAACTCAATGCCAGCTCGAGACTCGCAAGCCGCAGGTCGTCGGCTGGTGCCATCACACAAGGGCATACAACAAAATGGCAGATCGCGCAGCAAACATCGCAATGGATTCGTATCGATCCCAACAATGCGAAGCAAACACCTCTCATTCAAACTGGGAGGCCATTGCGGAACACATCGACCAAGATCTATAATACTAGCTCCAAGTTTTGGGTTGCAGGTCTCAGCTGTCTTAGATGGAACACCGTTCTAGAGAAGCTATAACTCTGGACTTCTTCCGAGGACCCAGCCGGCGAGCCGCTTTTGGCGGCAGAACGCCGGCTCCCTCCTAGTCGAAACGCGTAATAACGTAGTGTAGCTAGGAGAAAGGATACTGTCGTTCATCTACATATAACACAATATACCTGACCTTCATCATCATCAAAATCACAATCACCGACAACAATTATAGCTGCCACGCTTCCCGTGGGCCGAGCTCCTCCGTCAGGTGACACTAATGGAATTATTGGTTGTAATGAATGTAAGAACAACCCAACTGGGGCAGACGCTAGTCCCTAGGTCGCTTAACAAGACGACAAACGCCGCCAGAAAGCGCGAATGGCTCGAAGGGTGGTGCAAAAAAAAACGGGGTCGATCATAGATATGATGCTTTGCTGAAACTGGATCTTCAAATCAATCAATCCATGGCTTAATCAACGGCAGAAGCAGAGCACAACTTGATGACATCATCTCAGTCCTCCGCACCGACATGTCCACCACCGAATAAAGAAGATTGATATGCACACAATGTTTGCCAAAAGGCGGTCAATACAACACCTGTGATTGTCAGCTTCCAAAGTCCGCAAATGGATTTGAGGTCGAGACACCACCGATAGCGGCATCAGCAAAATGCGGCACCAAGCCAACGATAGCTCATGTTAGAATGCAATGCGATTCATAGCAGCACATTCGCGACTGGGGCGTAAGTCTCCACGATAGTGACCGACGCTAACAATTTAAAGTAGTGGCTTCGTCTTCGGCGCCCAAGGTGAGACGCACCTCCTCAGCCAGGATGGACAGCGACGAAGAACGCCTGGGAGCTCTATCAAAAAGGAAGTCCATCTCTCTCGAGCTGGTGCACCCGATCTAGTTTGTCTTGATTTGACCACCCCAGCACTCAGACTTCACTATGATTCGAGATAGTGTTTGGAAACACCCGACGTGGTGGACACTACGCCCGTCGTCAACAACGTAGAACAGAATACGGTTCTTGTATTTCTTAAGCACAAGTTGCGCTTCACAGGCTCTTTTTTAAAAAGATCGCGTCAAATGAACGATATGTCATTAACGCTTTCCATCTCCATCGCGTTGGCTATCGGTCGTATGGAGGTTTACTAAGCTCTTGACGACAAAAGTCTAGTATCACTTCATTCACAGCGTGCTGCAAGTTTGTATCAGGTATCAAGGTCTGGTTGCGGAGGTCAACCGACTGCAGAACGAGGCGGATATTTGATGCATTTTCAACTCACAGATCGTTGTCCTGCGCTTAGTTTACCCCAAGAACGTAAGTGCTAGAGTGTTGGCTGAAATTTGCGTCAGTACGGTAATACGACGATCACCCTGTGCATCACGACTTTGACGACAGATACTCCGTGCGTCGGTTTTGACGCCGTGGTACGCGAACTACTTTACACAATATCTCTGTAATCCGAATCGGGTTTCCGATTATGTATGATAAGTGAAATCGTGTTTTCGTGCACATCAACCCGCGAGCATCACGGCTAGTAATTTGCACTAAATTTCTCAGTCTCCGTCACTCAGGGTGCGACTGCAAGAATCCGTATGATAAAAGTCACTGTTGCGGACGCAATACAATCAGTGACAGAGACCGCGACGATCACCTACTGGAAAATTGATGGATGCACAAATGCAAGTACCTCGCAAATGTGCGGCACCGTCACTTCCAGCACATATCGGTGCTGCATACGTGATAGCACAGCTGACCTGTTTTCTGAAGAACGGCGGGCTACGACGATTCCATGCAGCGAAACGGACTTTTTGTGTACTACACTACCAGCGAACCGTTGCATTCAGCTTGATGGAGGCTGCGTTTATGGTTCTCAGACACCGCACTCAAGAAATTCTTTGGACGTGTGCGATGCTTAATGGCATGGGTCGTGAGAAAGTTGAAGGCACACAAGTTTGTGAAAGCAATCAAGGAGCGATCAGTTCCGCTATCAACGCTGGATATCATGCTCAGACGGAGTACACAAAATTGGGCACCATTTGCTTTGCCATAACTGTCAAGAAAGAAATCTTGAAGATGGGCCCATCGACGCGAAGCGTCGGCTTCCGTATATACTGACCAAGGCACTTGGGACCACAATGCTAGCACTTTCCTTCGAGGCAGTGAAAATTAAGACGAAACCAATACCAAGGAGCAACAAGCATTTACGGCGAGCGAAAGAGCTCAGATATCCCTTACCTTCATCTTTGCGTAATTAAATGGATACCGAAAATCTGCCAAAAAATAATATACGATCTGGTCTGTAAACCATCAGAAATGAAAACACTTGATATCGGGCTAGAAGTTCATAGTGAGTCTTAGAAACGTGAAAATAAAATCTGACAGGTGAGGGGCCTCAATCTTACCATAACTTTACCATCTGGCGGTTTGGATTTTTTTCTGAACGAACAAATGTAAAAAAATCTGTAAAATAAATACATCGTTTGTCGAAAGTATTGAGCGGCGTCTCAGCTATCGACCTGCTATATAGCGCATGACATTTAGCAATAAGCAGCGTCAGACTCACATCAACAGTCAAATCTGAGATTTACTCAACATCCGCGTAAAGCAAAGGGTAGGTGCTGTCAGTGGGTATTTGAACAAAAAATCGATGAGAGCAGCAATACAGATAGCCAAACACCGTGCATGATGTCGCTCGGGTACCCACATATGCGACAGGTCCATTACTACAATACCTGCTATACAAAGGCAAGCTATAATACCATCCCTTTGTGCTTCTCGCAATATGAAGCTGCCAGCGTCGGACAGCCCAGAATTCTCTTTTTATTACGAGAGCTTGTAGTAAAAGCTGGTATAAAGGCTGCGATTAACCTTCAGCAAGCCGCGACTGTATGGTCTAAGACAATTCGTGCTGCAATTGTTGACATAGGCTTTGTACAACCATGCTGACCCTTGCCTATTTGTACGTCCGGGTAAGAGCGGCAAGACTTTGGTAGATATCGTGCTTTAGATGAATGGTCGACCGGGCATGCTGATATGGATACGATCTATGTGCTTGATAGGATGGAATCCGTGACAACCAGATGACCGTTTTGTATATCACGATTATCCCTGTGATCAATAAGTATATTATACTTCGTATAATACTCATGTGACTTTATGTCGAATATAAAGGCTGTTACAGCGCATTTTTTGGGGTGCCAGCGACCTCAATAGCTGCTTTTACCCTGTGACAGAGACTACTCACTGAGCAGGAGAGCGTGCAATTGACTTACTTAGATGCGCGACTAGATTTTTTTATTTTTCTTTGATGTGATTATGGCAGATATTTTAACGATGTCTTGTTACTTGCAGCGCGGAATTGAGAGTAATTTAAAAGGCCAGAAGCATAATTTATTCCAAACCCCAGCGATTGGCCCGCGGATGGAAAAGCGCAGGATCCCCATCGCGGCTACTCGGTGGGTGAACTGTCAATACTAATACAACATCAACGTGGACACTAGGAATGTATCAAGATTGGCGTCATTTGTATTGACGGGAGATATTTTATGCTACATGTATGATTAAAATTTCCATATTGAATGTGGCGATGGCTTGAAATTACAGCACATGATTAGCTCCATTTTCGTTGATTTACAATTTGCTTACTCTAACCTGCATCAAGTTCACCATTATCTTAAAATTTACAAATAATACATCACAACACCCATGCTCTCCCTCTTTCGTTGCTTTTGATTGTGTTCCGCTTTCTCAAGGCTAGACGAAAAATAATGATTAAGATAGCAACTTATTCTAATTCTCAAACCACTAACGCTTCTCCAGAGCACCTTGCAAACTTGATCATCGAGAAGATTTCATTTCAACTTGCAATTATCTTTTGTGCACCGTACACAAATCTGTGATGTGGCATCACAAAACTTCCTCAATTTGCACATCGTTGATGTCGCTCTTTTGACATAGCAGCAACAGGCGAGGCGTCGACTTCGACTTAGTTTAGAAGTCGGCCAGTTGATTCTCCGTAGGCTCTCCCGGTAGTATGATGCGTCCTGCTTCGACGTGGCCTCGCACAAAATGAGCTTTTAGGTCAATGGTTTCGCGTGAGACGTGTAAATTTGGCTGGTAGCTATACTAATAGCCGATTTGTTTCTAGTTGAAATTGTGGTGAGGCTTCAGCCTTGAGCCCCATATCAACCAGCAGGTAGCGTAGCCAAATGACCTGTTTCGTGGCCAATGCAAGTGTCGTATACTCTGTTACAGTAAAAGACAGAGCCACCGTGGACTGCCGCTTGCTCTTGAGCACTACCGGCCACATTTTAGCAGCAATAATACTCCATATGTTGAGCACCTTGTGTGCTTGCCACCTCTCCAATTTGCGTCTGCATAAGTCTCGAAGCCCAGTTACATGTGTAGATGTGCCTTTGAGACAGTTTAGGACGCGCACTGCGCACGCCAGTGCATTTCACGTGGAGAATTCAGGTTCTGCAAGAGTGTCGACAAAATAGCGCTAATATTGGGCCCGGTAGTATTAGCGACGTACAAATGAAATTTAATTAGTTCTCGGTAGCTCCTAGCATTTTTATGCACCTCATGCGATTTGTCTGGCGTAAAGTCCAGACCAAGCACCATCGAATTAAGCACGACATTTACTCCCGTTTGCCCGAATCGCTTGAGCATTGTCTTGATAAACTTGGTCTGCTTTAAGACAAGCTTCCTCTTCTGCGGTGCAAACTCAATCTCCATCCCGAGAACATATCTATCATCGCCAGGAAATTGCGCAGGTACTAAGAATAGCACATATAGCATCTGCCCCAGCATCCGTGGTTCAGCAGACAAGCAGATCATCGACAAAGAGTACGATGTACATAGGACGACTGTCATCATTGCCAAGACGGACAAAATGGCATGGATCTGGATGGCATTATACGATTTCAATGTCAACAAATGCAGCTCGAACAGACGTTTACCAGATAAAGACTTCACCGCAGCTTGCTTACATAACCGTCGTCAACCCAACACCTTGTGGCACAGCTATCATTAAGAAATGTGGTTACAATGTCAAATTGTTGTTCTTCGGACGCTTGCTGCAGCACACCGTAAGAAACACGCGAATAATATTGCTGAAGCAGTAGACCACATCACGAGTTTGCAAACATCCAAGCGCCACTAAGCGAACTTCGTATCGGACAATGTTGCCGTTCTCATCAAATTAGGGTGCAATTACCCACTACCCCCCGATCTGCTCGTGCACCATGCGGACGCCCGAGCAAATCTCAAATGTGATTGCAAATTCGTGCCTTGAGTTCCTTGCGAATAGCTTCTTTCCACTGTTTGGCTTCAGGTGATGTCATCGCTTTTGCCTAGCTCGTCGGAACATCTGTGGTGATCAATGTGATCTCGTGCTCATCAAGGCGAGGGCGTTTGGGGTCTGGCCCACCAATCACACTGTCGTCTTGAGAGCTCATACGAGGTTAATTTGCAAGCAGAGGCATATCATCATCTAATCTTCGTTGGTCAATAACCGGGGCTGTTCAACACGAGGTCCACGGCCAGGTCATGATTCACCGCTAAATACCATGCAATTATGACCAAACGTTACTCGCCGTGGTGTGTACTGGAGCTTCAATATGGCGGGTAGATGAAGGTAACAGCGGTAATTGTCCGGGCGTAACTTCCCAACGAATATTTGCTTGAACGTGTAGTGTCAGCAACAGCACGAGAAGCACTCGAGGAGCCCCTTCAAGCGGAACTTCGGTAGCTGGAACAACAGAAATATTTACTTCCGTACGCATAAGTTCATCTCCCATTTTATCGATCTTCATGTCTGTGGCAGTGGTGAACTCGTAAATGTCGGCGCACTCAACCATCATCGTCATCTTCGGACGCATACTTCGCTTGACTATCTCTAGCATTAACAACGACAGCGACATCCTGATAACGAGCAGGTGGCCGCTCATTCATCGTCAGCGTGCGCGTTTTGGTCATTTTAGGTTGTCGAGGTCCCAGATTTGGTATGGTTTTGAGCCTCGAGCCGGCAACACATCACAAGAAGATGCAGCGTGCGACATCGAATCCCACTTCGTTCTCTTACTCTAATCAATATACAGGTACCCAGTAGATCCAAATACCCGAAGGTGCTCTAATGTGGGCTGCGTACTTGTTGGAACGCGTAGGATTCGAGATTTCTGGATACGATCAACTACATAAGGAGCTGTGATGATGAACTCTTCCCACCTCATATGATACATCATCGATCGGGTCATTTCAGTTAACGTGTGGTCGATCCTCTCCGCAAATCCAATCAACTGCAGAGAATACAGAACGCTTGTTTGATCAACAATGTCGTTGGGTGGCACCAAACCGACTGAAATTTGCACTGATGACCTCTTCCGCTACGAACACACTTGATCCTGTAGCCAGTTTGGTTCTCTGCCAGGGCCTTGAACTCGCGAAACGATCAAAGACTTGTGCACTCGAAGAAAGCAGATAAACGTAGTCGTTTCAACTGTAGTCGTTGGTGCACGTGAGCACATACAAGGCCCCACCTTTCTATTTGAGCTTAATGAGGCTCATGACACGACTTTCAGAGGGCTTTTAATTTTGGCTTCACTGCCGGTATCTCGTGAAAATGGACTCGTCGTCATCTTACCTCTACCACAATTAGCGATCCCGTTGTCCTCTCCATGCTGAAGCGTAGGCAGTTAATCACTTATCGTCGCAACAGCTTACATCCTCGATGTGGAAAAATAGCCGAGTCGAGCGTGTCATAACGTTCTATCTCAACGCGTTCTAACATCTACCTAGGCGGCTTGTTCTTCCTTGAGCTGCTGTAATTGCCGCACGAACAGCTTACCATTTTGACGAATCATGTCTATCACTTCTCCATCTACCGCTAGCGTCGCTTAGTCGCGTTAGAACTGGACGACACCCCACGTTCCGTCGACGCCGAAACGGACACCAGCTTCCTATCCAATTGGGGCACATACAAAACATCCGTCAACTTAATCGTTCAAGCGCCTCCAGCAACAAGCGCACAGATTCTTTTCCTTCGGCTAGCAAATGTTGTCAACTAGCCACGGTGATTCTGATTGGCATGTTCAACTCTTGATATTCCGCAAAGTTCATCCTCTCACCCATCATTTGGCAGCACGCTCCACTATCGAGCAGCTAAATATCCTCTCGTGCTGAACCAATCGTTGTGGCCGAGAAAACAAACTCGTCTTTCGATTACTTCAACTCAGGACAGTCGTCACGCTTGTGATCGTACTCATTGCAGTTAAAGCAGTACCCAGGAAATGTTGGTCCTGTGTTCTTGTTTTGATGCTGCCCACGACCACCACTGTAGACTCCACACCCGCCACGGCCACCTCGGTCACCATGTCGGCCTCTGTTACCTCTTCCACGACACCTTAACCACCTTGCTCGCGTATCAAGGTCTTGAATGCTTGCTCTTTTTACTTTCTCGTCTTGGTCAAATCAAACTTACGACGTTGCATCTCCTTCGCGAGCAGCAATGTCACCTTCTCGTGCGCCTCGATAATACAAATCATTGCATCATACTTCTGGGGTAAACTTCCAATTAAACGATCATTTCTCGTCCTCCGACACGACCTTGCCTACTGCAGCCAATCGCAAATACTGATCATCAAACTTCACGATGTGCTTCATTAGATCTTCTCCCGTGCCTAGCAATTTTTTGCAGCTCTTTCCTTAATTGCACGCGGTTGTGAAGTGATTGTTTCACAAAATTTACGCAGCGTATCCCATGCTTCATTCGCAGAATTCGCGTTACGAATCATCGATTGGTAGGCTGGACTTGGCATTTGGGCCACAATAGCCAGCGCCTTCACGTCGGCGACCTTCCACACCTCCGTCTCACGGCGCGGTGCGTCTTCTGGCTTCATGGCTTCAAGTGGTTCTTGCAGCTCCTTCCCGTCCAACACCATGCAAGCGTTGAGTTCCCACATTTAGTAGTTGTCGTCGGTGAGTATCTCCATGGGTTTGGAAGCGTTTTAGCTCATAACTGTTGAAGATGTCTTGTTTATTGTAGGGTAGAATAGAAAGTAAACTAGCGACCAGAACCCTGACTAGCTCCTAACCACTGACGCCTGTTCTAGAACGCCTAACAAACTTGATCTTCGAGAAAATTCCAATTCAACTTGCAAAATGCCTTTGTGCAACATACACAATTTTGTGGCGTAACCGCTCGCCCAAGGGAAAATTGCATAAACGGTCTTATTCAAGGGTCGACTTGATTCGAAAGGTCGTCAATTGGCCGCGGGGTAAATAAGTATGGTCTATTGACTATAATTTGTGTGACTTTTGAACGTCGTGATTTGTGAGACAGAGCTCACATGTCCGTACTTTGAGTAAATACCAGATGGCAGATGTTCGATAGAGTTGACAGAAAGAATGTAGCTGAACCTCTGATAAATTACTACCAACGTAACAATTAAATGGGAGTAGAACACACGTTATGAAGCCAGAAGATTTGACAATTTAATGCGAACCGCACTCGTGACAAGACGGCGAAAAAAACGCAATAACAAACTCAATAATCGTTTTCAATGTCAGTGTGCACTAATGTGCACACACAATGATGAAGATATTGTTCAGGTAAGACAGCTAGTTTGAATAAATTTTGGTTGCGAAACAAATGACGGTGAGAATACGAGCTCAAAATTTTATTTAGATGTGTGTAGGGCCAAAGGAAAGGCTTCTACAGTTAAAGTGACGTCAAATGAACGCCTATAGTCTGAAGTGTGTCATCTCGTCTTCGACGATAGTGGAATTTTAGAACAAAGGAAGTTATGCATGCTCAAATGTTGGCGCCTGGCTGAGTTGTTGTCGATGACCTTCTTCTTTGTGACGGCATATTAATACAAAAAGGCTTGTTAGCCGGTCTAAAGTATTGCCGAAAGTTGTACATAGTGGTGAGGCTGATGAAAGGGAAGTAACCCATTTAAATGGATAAATTCTCCATTAGCTCGTTTCTAAAACAGAAGCATTTGTTGAAAATGTCTACATTTCGGTAGTAAATACTATGTCCGATGGAATAATAACTGGTCTGTTGCTAAATCGAAAGCTAGAAGCTCGTACAAGGATATCGCAGACGTTTTCATTATCAGCATAATGGTTTCAGTGCACTTACATTCACCATCATCTATTTAAGAGGAGTTCATTAATTGAGAAAGCGCTCCACATACTTGTACTCATATCTTCACCGTTTGATTCGACGAAATGATAAATTAAATATTTCAGATTATCATGGCTACCGAGTAAAAGATATGACGTCGTGGTTCTCGTTACCAGTGATGCACTGACCCGATAACTGACATCGCATATCTGATGGTTTTGGTATTGAAACACGGACGTATACGAGGAGGCTTAAAAAGCACATTTGATGCGATCGGACTGGCGTCATCGTCAAATTTCTCACACCTGATCTCTATCTTTTTACTTGTACATATGTCTCATCTCATTAAGACGTATCGTCATTGTAATGTATTAAAGACAGATGAATAGGTATTTATTTATTTGACGAATCAAAATTTTGTCGGGTGTGGAGCTTTGATTGTCGCTGCGGGCAATTTTTTAACCCGATCGGTATCAATTGACGACAAAGTGGCACCAGCGTACATGTTGTAACGGGTTTTACGTGCCCGGTATGAAGGGTGTGGTTCACACAAGTTGGTGTGATCACACAATGGACTGGATAACACAAGATGATTTGATCATACAACGGTGTGGTTTACACAAGCTGGCCTAACCATACAATGGTGTGGCTACACTTAAACAAGATGTCAATACCTGGCTGGAACAGCCAGTAGTTATATATATCTTTATTTGTATATTGATATTAATCCTATAAATTTCAATATAGGCGGCTTTGCCGCAAAAAAAAACGAAAAACATAGTTTACGATTTAAACGGAAGAGTTAATAGGCCTTGGGTTAAGATTATAATTACTCTTGGAATAAATGGATTGCGATCCGCTACACTCGAACTTATACTATGTATAGAACGAAGGTCACGACCTTAAATAAGTTTCCTCCAAGCGAAAGAGCTACGAATGCCCCGCTGTACATATGGGTCAGGATGAACGAATCAAGGCCCATGCGGGAACAGAAGGATGTTGCCAAATAGTGCGCCAATTGTTATCTGATTTATAGCAAAGTTCGTGATACAATAGCTCATTTCTTTATTGTCAGAGCACAGCATATGTATATCAGAATTTCTTACATCCCTTCAAAACTTGCGGGAGGAAGCGTTAAGGAGGCGCAGCCATAAAAAAAATAATGTTTGAATACAGTTTTCTAAGGTTGATCTTTGAGCCAAATTGTAGCGCTGAGACACAGGCGATACGATGTAGAGGCGAAGTGCTGACAATGAAGCATGGTACGCGAATCTGATAGAGATAATTTCGGCAGCATCACGATAATCTCATTCTGTTCCTGTCTATAACAACCGTTGCCGATGTGCCTCATCATGACATAAGTAAGACCTTTCCATATTCTGCAACTCTCTCATTTGCTGTAGTAAAAAGTTGTATTCTTTATAAGAGCTAACAACTTTCCGCAAAACCACACACAGTTTGTTGCACATAAAATAAAGGCAAGCATTTGATAGAAATGGCATTCTCATTGACGTTGCAATTGGCTTCTTACAACATAGGGAAGTATCGCTTACATGTGGCTGGCCGCGTAACTCTCGTCGCTATCGTGGAACACAGCACTCCTTTAGTAAAGCTTCTGTTGGGTATTGTGTGTTCTAGATTACCATGCATTTTTCACAGGATTTGCTTCGACTCAAATGGTCCCGGTATGCAGCGCACAGAGATGGGCTTTGAAGGCTCTACCCAGGAGCAGAAACGACATCCTAAAAAGTACTTATTTGCTTTTTAATTCTTAGAATGATATATTTATGGCTAACTCAATTTGAAGTTTTCTTAGATATGTAAGTTCTATGATAATCAATGTAAAAGAATCTATATTGTTTAACGTGCAGCCAGCAACCCACGTGTCTCTTACGGAGTCGTATCGTCATCACGATACCCAATACTGTGATTATACCATAGAACGAAAGTATAATGTGCGTTTTGTGCAACGGTATATATGTAAAGTTTCGCTTTGTTGCACGTAAGTGTAGGGTGTACAAATCTAATGGAATGTATCGTATATCTCCCACACGCCAAGATGCGATTCACTCTTGTATTCGCATCACGTTTGCCGGTTGATGACATTGCGCAAACGCGAACGCTCGACGAGCATATGTTGCCTGGAATTTTACATCAATTCTTGCACGCAGCAGTGCCTCATCCTAAACGTGAGAGTCGTACATGATACCATTTCTCGACAAGATCCGATAATGGACCAGCTTTTGCGGCCGACCTCCTCAAGGGCGTACTCGTTGAGTTTGCCGATGTGTTTTTCGAAAAGGAGCGCCTGACTCAGAGGAAAAGGCCGTGCTGGTCACTAAAGAAAAAAGGCTTTACGTGCTGCATATCTTCGATTTAAGTCACGTAATCCATGACCGTTCTGGAAGGCAAAAAAACTTGCTACACCCCGCCCAGTTTGTCATAAATGAGCTGTACCTGGCTGATGAAACCTAGCTTTCTGTTCACAAGCTCAAATATCGTTACGAATCTTGTAGATGGAATCACGTTGCGATTAGGGATTTTTTTAATCCGATGTTGTTCACCGCGTGGAGTCGAGCCATTACATTCCTATTTATGCGGGCGTTCCGCTCAAACCGAAAGCATATCAAGTGCACGGAAGTCAATTTGCGCGCACTTTTCGACCTCACCGCTCAAAATCTCTAAGGATTCCGCATGTGCTTGAAGCAGCAGCGGCCAAGGAAATCCGTACGCACCATGAGGCCTGCTAAATGCTGCTAAAAGTGCTAGGGAGTGTCGCGATCGATTTTCGCTTTTGGTGGAGAGTAAACATCACTGCCTCCGTTAACCCGCTTCTTGAACCCCAATTTATAAAGCGGACGCCCGGCTAAAGCGTTTTTAATTGTTGATCTTGCATATTAAAAACATGACGTAAATGTCGAGTAAGAAACATATATCCTCAGATGTTCTATTAGCGACCCTGCTCATTCCCGTGGGTCTTCAAATTTAGTTCCCCAACATGTATCGGACCTCGAACGAGGTCGGTTTCTACTCGCTCATGAGAAGTAATCTGCGGCAGGTCGCTTGCTACATCTTCAATAAAAATAAAGTTTAGGGCGCGCCACCAGGAAAATCTTGCCAACGCTAGACGCCAGTCCCGCCTAAAATTTTCTAGTGAGAACATCTTTGTCACTAGATATTGGTACACTTACAGTGTTTCCGACAACCCAATAAACGTTTTAGGGTCAAGCAGGCAAATCCATGCTCATCAAGCGGTACCAGCGGAAGGTTTTCGCTAGGTACGGGGGTATCACCTCATGAGATATCTGTGATATCGGTAGGCCGCGGTAGGCACGGTCATATCAGGGAATTGAAGGTTGGTAATTCTACTAGATATTCGTCCTCAATATGATGTGATGGCCCGCATCATCGAGGCAGACGGTAAGAAATGATTATGGTTGTGAAGAGTTGTTTTTGAGGTTGAAAAAAAGAGAGAGGAGATAGAGGAAGTGCTCAGGACCTCAATGGGTGAACGAGGTGGCAGGCATCCTACAAAGAGGTGACAGAAACCAATGTGGTCACCGTTTCGGCAATGATGGGGATAGTCGTGGTTGTTGACAACACCAAAACAGGAATGCAGGAGTAGCGATTCGTAAGACTTGCTTTAACTTTATTGAATCTATCACAAACGTCACGACTACCCTGACTTCCATAGTTAAAGAACAGTGATAAAGTTACCTTACCCGCAAATGCTTCGTGGGCTAGGCTGCCCGACAGTGGGCGACCCGCCACATGATGCATGAGCCGAAGAAATTTGTGGGATACCACGAAATGCAATCGCCAATTCGTTCTATAGATGATGGACAGCAATTACAAAGAAAGGGGTCAGTACGGTCTGCTGCTGGATTCACAAAGACGACCAAGTTGATGAATGTCTTGTATATGCCCAAAGTGTACAGGAAACTGGTGTTCGTGTCGACGCTAACAGCGCGTGTGATTACCAGGCATGATAAACTTTATCGAGCAAGCAATGAATGGATGACGAAGCACGCGCAGTGATTTTCTAAGTAGCATGCATGGTAGTGTGGACTTGCAACAGGGAAGTCATACATAGATCAAGCTTCCCCAGCCGTATAAAGCACGAGAGCGCTAGGCCGGGTGATATATATGTGCGACAAGGTCTATCCGATTGCCATGAGAAGTGCTGGGCTTCCGGTGATAAAAATTATTGGAGACAACTTAATTGCTCATTCTGGTAGCCGTGCGCAAGTAGTTTGGCAACGAGTCCAATAGCGCACAAGAAGTAAAGTTATGCACACCGGTGACATGAACTTAATAACGCCCAAATCAAAAGGAGGGACGTCGTATGTTATCACGACTTGCCTAAGCGATCTGCTTTCAGAAAACATTTTTTGCAAATTTAAATCTCTAAAGAAGCGCCAAACGGGTTACAAGATCTTATATGCTCGTCGTGAAAACAATGAAGAGTACGTAAATGCGCGGTTAATTACATCCTGTTGTCCGAGACGGTCGGCAACCACTTTTATGTCATACTTCAAGTCAGAATGCGGAGTATCGTGTTGAGGGTCGGGAGGAGTGTTGAGGTCGCCCAGACAAAGTGCGTCGCTTGGTCCTCGAGCTCTTCATTCCCGAGATTCTCGAAGAAGCGTTGCTTTTATTAGGCACATACAGTGGAAAGCACTTTTGACCATTACCTTCACGACAAGGTAGCGAGCGACCTACGACCAACAGGTGTGGAAATTTAATCGTCGAGCGAGAGCCAGGGCTGTCAGAGCAAAGGACTGTGAGTGCTCCACCGCCCCGACCGCTCGAAGGTCGATCCAACAGCTAGTTAGGGTCTTTCACGAAGAATTTGTGCTTAAAGCTCGAGTCAAGGTGGAGCTATAAAGCTTAAGGTTCGTGCTGTTTGACAACTAACTTTTTCTGACCCACGACACCGAGGTTTTGGAGAGCAAGGTCTCAATAAATAGGCAATCGCTCTTCTTGATGATATTAGTGTTAACGCTGAGGACACTAACGTTGCTCCATTCCATTATGGGCAATGAAGATGCTTTAGCAATTAGTTGCTTAGCTGCCCGTGACCATCACCATGCCACCCACGATTGGAGCTGAAGTACCGACAAGGCACAAGTGTAGTCCCCATCGCATTTGCGCAGCACTTCTATATCGTCGAGCGAGTGACACTATACTCCATTGCTGCATGCTGTGCGTACCGAGGCCCGACCGTAGCCGACGAGTTGTGTCGTGGAATGCAGCAATCGCGTGTTGTGCGCAGGGATCCACTCGACCGGCTGACCTGTGAGATACTGAAAGTTGACAAAGATCGTCGGCGCAATGGGCATCATTGCCAGTTTAAATATTCCTAGGTTTTGGTCGCTCGATTCGGCTTCTTATCAACTTGGACATGTTTCACCACTTGACGCACGTCTCCAAATTGGCTAGGCGCCTGGATAGAATTGTTGTTTCCATCACCCTTTTCACTTGATGGCAAAACTGGAGTTTTGACCCGGCTGCATCGCTGATAACACACAATTGATTGTGGGTAGCTGCAAGAGTTCAACAGTTTTGGCGCCTGTACCGTCTTCAGCGACAGCGCGCTGTTAAAGACGTGCGGACGATCGATCGTCTTCTTCGTGATGTGGGATAACGCTCGCGAATTTCTCGAGCAGCTTGCTCACTCTTTCGATCTTCTTGTCTGCTTCCGCGAGACGGTAAGGGAAGGTATTCAATAGCGCCGCGTTTTCGTCGTCGAGCATCGACTCGGTCACTTCCATGACTTTAGATGCCTTCAATGCCTTCTTGATCTTTGTGTGGTGCTTCTCCACAAAAAGGCGGACTCGGTCGATGGTTTTACAATGTCAGGACGCTTCACATTTTTAGGGGTGATCTGGTGATGCACGCCGCTGCATCCTCTTCAAGACCAAAGGATACATCCAAATTTGAAAGTGCACCAGCCCGCTGTATTTTTTTAAATGACTTTATATCCTCGACTGTTTTCAACACGTCGCCTTTTGATTGGTTGTCTGTCTACCACGTAACTTTGTGGCACTATTCTGACCTTCGATTCGAGCAAAATTCTCATCGACTTAAGCACATAGAAGTAGTTCCCGGTTGCGATGCCATGCAGTGGCATCAGTTTCTGCTGCAGTAGAAGAGCAGTGAAATCAACTTTGCTATGACCTCGCTTCCTCTTGTTGTTCGTGACGGGCGTAAAGCCGTCAATCAAGAGCAACATTGGAGGATGTTTTGTCTCCGAACTTCCAGGAGGTGAGACCTTGCCGTTGAAGGTCGAGATCGACAGTAAGTTCCTGAGTGACTGGTTATGTTGAGCACTGCTCTGGAGCTGATCATCCCGTTTCCTGCCTTCTAGAGCAAGTTTTGCTTTGACGGAGCTTTCGCTGCTAGCGCGTAAGAATTCGAAGACGTTTGTTGATGCTGCTGTAGCTGTGATGCAGATTCACTGGGATACGCTGAGCGAGAAATTTGTCGTCGGTCGTCCCAAGGTCGATGCCGTGGTACGAGCGGTAGCGGAATCGTAGACGTTAAGACTGGAACGAAGTATTCTTGCCATGCGCCGGATATCAATTAGGATCTGGTCGCAAACCGACCCATTCACCATCTAGAAACTTGGACATGTGCTTGACGAAGTAGATGCGCCAATTGGCAAATGAGATTTCTTCGTGGGACTTGTCGTAGTACGGCTTGCATCCCAATTAAAACAAGTTGTGGAGGATCACGTCCGGGTTGGTGTCCGAGTCGACACTCACGATATCGATGAAGTTTATGCTACCAAGTACGATGTACTCCTATAACTTGAATACACCACTAAGAATGTGATGTATTCGTGCGCTCCAGCTTCAAGCAGTTTTTTAGTCTTTACTTCCGGGCGCAGATTGCCACCGGGAGTTTCAATACTTGCTCGATTGCGAAATCAATGTGCAGGCTTCGTTTCCATGGTGCTTGCCAGCCAGCGACACCATGATTTATCTGGAGTGGAGTCATGGCGAACGTCCGACCGGTGTCGATCATCATGTCGTATTTGGCGGGCGAAAGCACATACAGTCGCGCCTGCTCCATGCGAGTCGAGATGAACGACCAGTTATCCCCACCGACATACTGACGATCGATTGCTTCGATGTCGCAGGTGAGGGGCTTCGGGGTCCTAACACGGCGACGCACAACTTCGACGTCAGCGTTATAGCGTCGACTTATTTCTTGCTGCCGCAAGAAGTCCGCCATCTTCGGACGCGTGTCGACGCTTTGAGGCGGGGATGCATTGACGGTCGGCTGCGTTAGATTCATCCACTCGTCGTCCAATGCAGCTGCTACGCAGGAGTCGAGTCGACGACAGTTGGGGACGCGTCTATGAACTCGTTGGCGGGATCGACCGCATTAGCTGGCACAACGGCCGGCAAAGCGGAAAACGACGTTGTCGGATGAGTGACTGGTGATAATGAGCCATTTTAAAGTCCAAAGCCAGCGCAGGAATTTAAGCAAGATGGGTCCACCGTGCTACCCGACTGAGTATTTGATGTGGACCCAGGAGTCGAGACAACTACAGCGCGAGGGGCTGGTCGTTAGGGAATGGAGAAGTTAAAGTAGCTAGATTCATCATTTTCATAGGGAAATGGGAAGTGAGAGGGCTGGGGGGGAGAGTGCTCTTCTATATAGTTGACTTGTGAAGTAGCCGGAAAGTTGAGAAGTGGGGTCTGACATCTCATTGTGGGGTCCAACAACACGAATTTGATTGTTGCATTTATGGAAATGCTAAGTGCATATATTGACACATAAATAGTCTACATGCTCAGTGCGTGGTCATAACAAGGCAAAGTCTGCCCACGTGAAAATTGTTTTTCTCCATAGATACTTTGACCTCCTCTCGCACTTGTAGCAAAAATATCAGTACTAACCGAAAGTTGGAGTGTATTTTGCTGTACCATATCAAGCGCTTGAGTCTCAGCGATTTTCGATAGAGACACTTAGACCATTTACCGTCGTGATTATGGGTTATGATTATTCTGATTCATCCGAAGCCAATTGGTCGTCGGCGCAACTCCTAATCACTTGTATGTGTGATAGTAATCGGCGAGGAAAATGTGGCTGCTGGATCGTCGTCCGTTTGAGCAAAGTAGCCTAAAGACCGTCTCCTCCAGAATTCATCCGTAACTCTTGTTTCGGTCAAATCAATTTCTCCTAAGTAACATCTCATTAAGTTGTGCTGATGACTTTTTGTGCGACAACATCTTCGAGCAACCTTCAATTTTTAAGCTTTTTCGTCATGAATGTTTCAAACCCAACTTTAACGATTATCACACAAATTAGATTGAAAACGTAGTCATATTGTAAAGAGCTGTATACCCTACGAGGTCCGAGCCCTCCGCATTGTTGTACATATGTGTGTTCTGATACACTTCATTTACCCTTGTACACATCAGCTCACGTGCATTTCGCTTGCTTACTGACATTCCAGTTTTTTCATCAGATGCTGTTGTACCTGTCTATGCCGATACCTAACGGCTGGACAGATAGTGACATGGTCTATATTTGATATGCTGTATCTTGCAATTAATATATTATGTAAAGGGGAGAGCCTTAAGTATAACCTACCTGAAGAGTATATTAAATTTATTGGAAGATTTTTCGCCATTAGTAAGAAATCTGTTCGATTCTTGACAAATTTGATCTAGTTCGCTTGCAGCTCATCAAATATGCTATCGAAATAAACTAGATCATCTGGGTTGACCACATTCACAAGAAAATCTTGAACTTGGGATACGGAGAACTCTAAAAAGGCACGTACAAGTAACTTATTCATACTATCAATCTCTTCCTGCGTTGATTTTTCGTACACATCTCGCTCTTGCCACTTGGAAAGCTCTACAACCTGTTGTATCAGGAATGTCAAACTTGATGCCTCCATCATCACATTTTTGCTTTCACATAATAGCATAGCCATGTCGACGATTACATGATCTCCACTTCGGGGACGAGATGTCTCGGTTTCTAGTGTAGACGTTTTGCACGTATAACTGTTCGTAAGAAAATACAAAATATGTTCGTCGCTTAAAGCACAGTTAGCATTCAGCAATTCGCGCAGTAGTTGCAGCGCATGGATTCCATCATTAGCAGCACAAAAAGCAGCGAGTGCATCTTCAGAAATGTCACTTGGAAGATCTCGTACAATTTGTACCAAAAGATTCTGCACACGTCGGCCGTCGGGAAAATTAGTGAGTGTAGTGAACAGCGTATGCAGTAGCCGAGGAGAGAGTAAACCATAATCTTGATTATCATCGTTAGAATCTCTTTGAAATACTGATATTGCATCTTCTACAGAATCAAGGACACGAGCCACATGATGCGAATCTTGACTCAGCAGAAGATAATTTTGTAGACATAAAGCATCTGGATCTATTTCACATTGCTCCATAACATCCAATGCGATTCGACCAAGGTGAGCTGCATATTTTCTGGCATTTTCAAACTTTATTGCTTTTTCACTCTGATATCGAATCGACTTATGCTGCAAAAAACTCGCAAATGATTCCAAATACGCTTCATTCTCGCATTTTACGCTCAAGACATTTAACTGACGCATAAGAGAACGAAAAATATAAATCGTTGGCTTCACGTTTGCTTGTTCCATTCGAGACCACCACTTATTAAAGTTTATCTGGTCTTCTAGATGTGAATACAAGCGCAACATTAGAGCAAATGTCATCGAGTTGGGGATAATCCGTATCTCTTGCCACCCTTCAGCTACAATTTTTTCAGCCAACATCGTATCACTTTCGTTGACCACACGTTTGAGTATAGCGTTCTGTACACGTGGATTCAAACGTCCATTATTCTTCGTACGATGTAGTGATGGAATCATTTTGAATGAATTCCACAAAGTTTCCATCGGAAAACTTGTCAGCATTGCTGCTAAACGCTCTCCAGTCACCATCGAGATTGGAACGCGCTGGTTTATAATCATATTGCATAAATTTGCAGCACGTTGGGTGTCTTTACCGTGCACACAGGCCAACACTGCGGCATCCCACAACATTGGAAAATTCTCAAGCATCCGTTTCTCTTTCATTTGCAGCGTCTGGTGCTGGAAAATGTGGTCAAAGAGCATTAAAGCATGCCGCCATTTTGTCTGTCTAATGTACGAAAACATAGCTTCCCCATAAACGTGTAAATTCGGCTCCAATCCCTGCACTTTCATAGAAGTAAAGACACGAAGCATCTCCTCAGATCGATATAACCGACCGTATGCAATTGCAATGAGAGACTGGATTCGTACGTCTGACTCAAGTGGCAACTTTTCCAATAATCCACACTCTTGTATCGACACATACCGATTTATCACTTCTTCCCATTGTTTAGCTCGACTAGGTACAAGTAGATACCCATGCACAACATTTAACGTTGGCTTACACTGGTGATGCTGTAGCTCAGTAAAGAAGATTTTAGATTGCTCCACATGAGTGCCACAAGCGCAGATCAATGCTGCAAAAGACGTGGCATCTGGTATCACATTACGTGCACGCATCTTCGAGTAGATAGCAACTGCATCGTCCAGTAGCGACAATTGGCCAAAGTTTCTCAATGCCGCATTGTACACAGCGAGTGAAATCTCGAAATCCTGAATTTCCATCTCTTTGAACAAACGTTCGATATCATCTGTGTACCTATTGGATAAAGCTGCTTGTGGTGGACGTGCGTTGATGTCCACATACTGTTGCAGCAATACTCGGGCCATGTGCCATTTTCTTTCGACAGCACACAAATGAATCACTCGTGTATAAAGTATTTTCGAGACTGAATAGTTTCTCGTTAGCAATTCTTCCCGGAAGAAAAGTGTTTGTGGCAGAGATTGTGCGTCCAAAGCCGCAGTAATCAAGTCCGTCACAATCTCTTGCTTCTCCATTTCATCTAGTTCTTCATCATATGCGTGCAACAATGCTTTAAAAAGTACACGCGTTGCAGTAAGTTCCTTGCAGTCAATACAAAGTCGAATTGACATCATATATAGCTCGGTAGAGGCTCTTAATTTATATGTACGCATCTCTTCCAATAAACGCTTGGCTTTCATCCATTTCTTAGCGGCATGACACGATCGAATGGCATTTTCATAAATGCTTAGTGACGGTGGCATGATCTCTTCTTCCTGGTGCATAAAGTCAATAATTTCCAAAACCGTATTCCATTCACCAAGTTGTGCACATGCTGCAGCCGAGTATTCGAGCGTTATGGGCGAAGGTGATACACCTGCGTCTCGTAAACACTTGTACACTTGAATAACAAATTGTGGGTTTTCCATGGCTTTAGCTACCATAACCATAACACTTGCATCCTGACCAGGCATGCTAGGATCCACATACAGCTGCATCCAATCAGTAACAATTTCCTTTGCACGTTCCATGGATGGACCTGAGGTCATTGGATCGGATAGAAAATTCTTTAACTCTTCATATTCGTCAGGAGGCACAACTGGTCGATTGGACAAAACTTGAGAAAAACTTCGGAGTTGAATGAAGAATGGCTGGCACTGAACGAGTAAGGAGCTATAAATGGATAATCGACGATTAAAATTACTGCAATCTAAAATATGAATGATTATTCGTCTCGTGCTGGTGTTATGGATGGATGTAGAATGCACAAGGAGCCGTCGAGACACGCGACGCAGCATGGCGAAATGATCATGCAAGTAGCCCAGAAGTATGTGGGCAACACTATTTTATACTTTGTTGTTAAAAAACCTTTTTGAAATTGCTAGCATGCTGCTGTCGCTTTTATACGAAAATACGTGCCTTGTCCATTTCTTGTATTAAATGCGTGTACAGTTCGTTGGCATTGAACGCGAGTGTTTTCACGGCCTGGCGTTTTTTGTATGATATTGTTATTTGTAACATAAAAGCATTCTGTTCATCATATTCAATCTACAAAAACAGAAGTCGCAACAAACTTATTACCACGTCAATTCTAGTGCTAAAAGCGACATATGGCTCACCTCGATGACAGGAGCAGAACCACCCCATTCTTTCTTGTCCTTTTCTTCCCAAATTACTTTTGCAATGCGAACTCCACCTTCATATTGATGTGATTCATTCTATCACAATCATATATTCAATGAGTACAAACAGTCACTTGCGTCACAAGAAATCTTACCTGAAGAACTTTGTCTTGTAAATATCTGCTAAGATTCTTCAGATGTATAGAAACTTTGTGCTCAACTTTGATCGATACAACACCTCGCGATTTATAAGTAAAATACCGCAGCAGATAAATCATACCAGTCCCTACAATCACCCAGGCCACAAGGCTAAAAAAGAACCATAACCCCGCGTTGTTATAGATCATGACCTTAACAAAGCCCCTAATCCACTCTTGATCGGTTACAGTCCAGGTACCCGTGATACGATCAAGGAGATTGAAAGCCAGTAGACCGCTCAACATCATCTTCATTATCATGAGAGTCGAAGCTGATCGCTCGTTAATTTCTTGTAATTCGCGCAAAGTTCGAGTGTTCATGCGGATAGCCTCATTCTGTTGGAAATTCTTCTCATTGGAGACGATGTTTGCCATTTCATTCAGAACTGCGAGTTCGTGGCGAGCCCCATTCATGTTTTTGTGTAATTCCCTCACTCGACGCTTAAGTTGATGACTCAAAATTTCAAGTTGGAGTTGCTCGTAAAGACTTCGACCTGCTTGACCCGGCGGCTCAGTTGGTATAGTCGCTTCATTCAGCGATTCCTCGAGATGACAAAGTATTTCTTCCATCAGAATGATTTCTTTCGAAAGTGTAGCAAGCTGATTTCGAATGCTACGCAATCTGTTCGGGTCCTTTTCCGCTGTCTCAATTAGCGCTCGCACTTGTGCCATGTCATCAATGATGATGAACATTCGAGCAAAAAAGTTTTGAGTAAATAAGTTCATAGACTCGAATTGGAGAAAACTGCACAATAATGGTTCATGACGTCTGCTATTCGGACCAGCAATAAGCAATCCATAGGCTCCAAAGACGAGAGTATCCTGCTCACTAATGTCAAAGGCAGCACGAGCATCGCCTATCACTTGCTTAACTTCATTCTCGTACTCTCCTTTATCCATATACTCTTCTGCTGTTAAATGGGGTGTGATCTCATTTGCAATGATGAGGTTAATCTTGTTGCGACAAGCTGCTTGGTTCGAATAGATCAGACAAAGGAGGGAACGTTGATACGCTGACAGAACAGTATCAACAATCTTGGAAGAGTCCATGTGAACGTCCACGAGCAGTCGAGATAGGTGATCTAACGAAATATTGTCTTTAATGTGGTCTGTGATAGCTTCCACTTGCATGCCGTATAAACAAAACCCTGATGCTGAAAGTGAACAGCCAAAAGTTTCAACTTGCACTACTCCAGGAGCTTCCGGAAAGTGAATATCCGCTTCAAAATTGACGTGATTGGTCATGGTGTAATCCAAAATATTTATTGACGTAAGCCCGGGATCCACCGAAATTTGTGTCCCACTTGTATCATTGTCTGCAATAGCCGTAAGAAATCCGCCCTGGACACGTTCAGTAGATCCAAAATTGCAGTTTAGTTGTACTATTTGGTTCGAGCCAAATGGAATATACTCAGCCACGATTAGAGAAACTGAGTTCAGTGTGATAATTTCATCGAGTCGGTCCCGAATGCAGGAATCGCTTACTCCACACTCGTGAGCTCGATGTGCATTACTTAGTGTCGGACGTCCACCAAGACGCAGACATTGCGGAATATACGCACTCGAGACGTACGATACATCTTCCGTTTCAGTTACGGACGAGAGACGGCGATACCCACTTTCTTTATCCACAAGCCAGTATTCCTCTTTTTCCCATTCTACTCGCAACAAGTGCAATGTGCCTGGAGCGTATACAATATCATTGATCACTAATTTGTCGGCCTTACTCATTTTTGCGACGAGTTCAAGACCTTTCTCCGAAATTTGATAGCATGTCACGGGTTGGTAAATCTTGGACGAGAGTTTTAATCCATTCACTAAAGCTTCTTCACGTAAGAAATCGAGGTCAGATCTTCCCTCTTGTGTTATGTTCAGGTATCGGCGTTTATTCTCCACCAATTCGGACGATGGTGCGTAGTCGTAATCAAGTGCCTTGGACACAATCGCTTCGTACAGCAAAACTTGAAGCGCTGGTTTCCGAATCCATTCTTCCTTGTCAGATGCACAGAGAGCAGGCTTTGAGTATTTAGAAACAAGATACAGAAGTCGATTTTGGTTTTCTGTCAAGCCGTTATCCTCCTCGACCGATTCATCACTTTGATCAGGTTCTTGCACATCACCATCGGCTTCCTCTTCATCATCGTCTTTTTCAGAACCTTCTTTCAGATCATTTTTCTCATCCACATGAATTTGTACGGTCTTCTGACTCGTGGCTAGAACTTTCTGTAAGCGTCATCATTGTTAACGATCATGATATCAATTGAGGGATTTATCTTAATTACCTTCATCGTCCTCGAAGCCTGACAAGTCGCCGTTTCACGGCACTATCATATGGATTTGTCATAGAATTCATGCTATGATGCTAAAAGTCATACTTTTTTTGACGGGTTGGCTCAAAAGCTGACTTGATACAAAATGTTCTGTAAAGGGAATAGGATATACCCGTTTTCTTTACTTTGAAGATTCGTCAAGATTGTAGTTCTTGTCACTATTTATTAGTCTTACACTTTGTCGCTACTGATTACCTTCTGACACGTACGAAAAGGGAGTGTGGCACAAGGGGCAATTTTTTTGTTCTCGAATCTCAGTCTCAATGCACACATGGCGACAGGCTTTGCACATGGTCGTGCGTTGATTCTGAATTACCATTCCCGTCATCATACATGTTGGAAATGGACGACTGCAATTGCCACAGCGAGCATCCCATTCGTTCACTTGGTATTGGCAATTGGGGCACTTTTGCGATCGCATTGTCGAATCTTGAAGTTTTAGTTGAGCTGTCGTAAAAATCTTGAGCGCAAGATCACTTATCGCCACTAACTCCTTCTCGCTTGAAGCCGGAAGTGTTTCAAGTTTGACAAAAGCCTTAGAACACTGTTCAAATTGCTTCGTATAAAATGCCGTCAAAGCGATAAGCGAGTAGATTTCACGTTCATCGAGTAAATCTTCATAAGCCGAGAGTTTCAGACTCGTATGGAGTGCTTGCTCAATATTTCCACTGTATAATTGACGATGAGCAAGGAGATAGAAATGATACGCTTCAGCACCACGCCATGGATTATCCAGAGATCGATTCTCACCTGTAGCTGCATCATGTTGTACCAAACTTTCGAGCGTTTTTGCAGTCACTTGAGCTGCTGTGGTGCCTTTCGAGGTGGTTAGACTGGAAATGTCGAGCATCTTTTGCCTCATACGTTCCACTTCAAATGCTGCAAGAACATGCAATTTTTTGGCTCGAAGAGGATTCTTTTCCACTTCTTTAGCCAATTTTGCTAACAGTTTTGCCGCTTCAGTACTTTTATTAGCCCGTCGGTACAGCTCGATTGCTTGAAGAGTCTTCCCAGTCATCAGAAGATGATTAGCGTACTTTGCAAGCACATTTTCAATCTGTGGAAAATTATATTGCTCCGCGAGATTAACAGCAGATTCCCATTCGTTTAATAGGACGCAAGAATCTATTGCGGATTTGACGTCGCCCATTCGCACATAAGTTTCCACTGCAGATTGACACAGCCCAGCTCGTGTGAACTTAACGGCCAATTCCTTTAAGAGGGGCGAAGTTTCTGGAATTTCGTCAACAAGAGCCTCTAGTTGCCCAAAATCGCCCAAAGCATAGTAACATTGTACGAGAGCATTTGTATTTTTTGCCTGTGCAAAGTATTTGATCGCTTTTTCCCACTTGTGACGATCAAAATAGAATTCGCCAATCATATTCCACGTGTGAGTCAATAAGTCGTCATTGCCCCCTCCAGACTGAAGCAACTGCACGACACGAAACCAGTCGCCAAGTCGTTGGCGGAGATCAATTGCTAGATCTTTGCGATCAATTTGACGATAAAGTGCTTCAGCTTCGTCAAAATTCTGAAAATATGCAGCCACTTCAGCTTTCTGCTTCACACGATCATTAAGTAATTGCAATCGTTTTACATACTGAATACCACTGTAGTCTTTGCATTTAACAAAACCTCGCTCAGCCATGCTAAAGTCCAATTGCTCCAGTGCAGCTTCCGCCAATAGAGACCACAATCGCGGGTGGGGATGATCCTGTATATACTCATATGCTTCAGCAAGTCCGACGCTATCAAGAAGGGCTTTGGTATCACGCAATGACCGAGTCTGGAATTCAATCACCATGCTCCTATCAGGTTGTTCGGGGTTTGCAACAATTTCATCCAATAATGCCGCTTTCACTTGCAAGTCTTTATAATGGCAAAGGTATCCCGACGATGCCACAGGCTCTTCATGCTCAAGGCCACGAAAGATATGCATTCTCGCTTTCTCCATCATAACAAAAAGTTCTGGATTGTCTTCAGCCCATACGACGTCCCAAGCATCTTTCTTCTCAAAATTCAGCATTTTGCCCTGACTTGTTTGTAAACTTCCAGCTACACCGACCTCCATGATAGTTAATAAGCCATTAATATCAATCACACTTAGTAAAGTTGAATTGCAGTTTAGAGCTAGAAACTGAGGACGACAGTTGACAATGTACTTCATTTCGAGCGAAATATGAGGCAACGTGAAACAATGGATTAAGCCACTTGTTCGGGCTGCAAAGATCCAGCTATCGGACGCACAAATGGCACAGATCGGATCTTCTAGCTGTCGAGCAACGTAGTTAAAGTGCTCAGCATCGTTGCTTTGTGTCTCGTCGATGTAGAACGCTTTTTCTCGACCCCCGCCACGTTGTAAAAGTTGAGAAATCGAGCTAACGTCCATTGCGTCTTGGTTGGCAAGACCAGTCAATTGAGAGCTAGTGTTTTTATACTGCCATACGAAGATAGCATCTAAAGAAGCCACAACGATGTGACGCGAAGTCATAGTTACATAAAGTGGCTCCAAACAAATGACTTTTGTATCAATCGGAGACCCGATTGTGTCACAAAGAATTAATTGATAACGCATTCCGTTAAACCCGCGCTGATCGTCGTCCAGTGGCTGTCCATAGTATTCCCCAGAGCTATAATTTTCAGTATCAATCTTGGTCACTAAAACACAGTTGTTTCCGGCTGACTTAATCCCTAAAAGGCCACGAATGAATTTAGTACATCGCTCGTCTGACTTGGTATCCCAAAAGACGACACAATTTTCGACCTGGTCGATTCGATTGTATGTATACACCAGCGTGTTGGCATAAAAACCCCACTTGTACGCTGGGCGAATGTTGGCAAAGTAAATATGCGAGTCGACAGCTAAACAGATCCGCAAACCTGTTCCTTCCCAAGCCAATGCTTCAATTCGGCTACCCGGCACGCGAAGTGAACGCAAGTGATGACCAAAGGGATCGTAAAACTGAACAACATTAAACTCTTTTAATGAATCGCCTTTTGGTACAGAGTGATCGACTTGTGTTCCAGCAAGTGCGATGACACTTCCATCATTGTTCCATCGAACTTGAGTCAACTCAATTCCCGTATCAATCAAAATGGCATTCTCATCGACTCGTCCTCGAGTAATTTGGACTTTGCCATCACGAAACGCGATGGCTAAAGTTGGTGCGTCTTGACTAATATGTCCTTCAATTCCATCGTACCAATGTACCCCAATAATCGTATAGTCCTTTCCACCGCCACGTGATTCAATAGCGTACAGTGTCATGCGGCTTATTTTATTCCCCATCGAGTCGTGCACTGCCACTTCACCGTCTTTAGTAACAAACAAAAGTGATTTCCCATCTGGTGACCATTCAACAAACGCTAGTTGTGTCTTCATTTCTTTGCCCCAAAGACGATTACCATCTACAGAGCCAACAATCACAGCACCATCTTCGTATGCAATGCAAATCTTCTGACCATCGGTTGTCCATTTCATATCGCGCACAACGCTTTTATTTCGATTGTTTATCATCTCTTCGTACCACATTCCACGATGGAGCACCCACACAATAATTAGACCATTTTCGTCACTTGTAGTAAGTTTCTTAAAGTTGGCATTCCATGTAGCGCACACCACGGGACCGTTGTGGCCTTCAAGAGATTGATTCATGGTGAGATTACTCGCGGCTGCAATACCTCGAGGACCTTTTCCATCGGGCTGAGCTGTTGATTCGAGCCGCAACACTTTCAAAAGCCCATGCTGCCCCCCACAAGCGATCCAACCATGCTCTGAATTCCACGACGCGCATCTCAACTTGACATTATTTGGAATAGCAATCTTCTTGCTCAAAAAGATAAACATGACTTAAACTCACAAGCGAAGAAATGCTATGGCGTTCCTTTAAAAGACCTAGAAGCGACGCGACCCCTCGTGCACCGTTTTACATCGCTCTTTACCCATCGACTTTATGACGTAGAACACATAAAAATTGTAAAAATCCTTTACCTACGAAAGCCATTATGGTCTTCAGGACGCGACTTTGAGTCGATATATGGGTAAAGAAAATCAGACCGAATGTAGGTTTGATTCTTCTCTACGAATGAAATGCACGACTACGTGACTAGCAGTATTCGTCAATAGTAATTGACTTGAAGCCATCGCGTTCGGTGTTTTGCTCCCGCTGCATTGCCGTGCGGTATTATAATTCGCCTCGCCAGCGCGCTGGAAAGTCAAAATAGGACACTGAATGAAAACCTTTCCTGGTGCCGTTTGTAAACAGAGCTTAAATTCATGAAATAGTAACTCAAATTACGTTGTGTCTGTCACTGATTGATCTTGCGAATGCGAGCTATGAAAAGACCGCTGGTATTCTGAGATGGAATAAAGCGTAAAGTGCCTGGAAGTTTTCCCTCCTACAATCATACACAAAGAGCTTGTTAGGTTAAGGTCGGTTCTGAATAAGATTTTATCTCACTCGACAAGGGACATCGTTGCCAGCGACGATCGGATCGAGCAAAGCCAGCGGTTCATCTTGTAGCAATTCCGATACTATTTCTTCATTCTGCTTAAAAGATAAAGAGCACGTGCTGTAAATCAGTAAACCTCCGGAGCGAAGCAAACTAAAGCCATTTCGGATAAGCGCACGCTGAAGTTTAAGTATCCGTTCGATTTCACTCAGATTTAAATGATCTCGCACGTATTCATTCCATCTTGATGTCGAGTTCAAACGCTGGAGGTGACGAATGGATCCGTCATGTGTACACTCAGCATCCACGAGCACCTTATCGTATAGTGTCGAGTCATGTTCCAAAACTTTTTGGCGCTTGGCATCTCGAGACCGTGCGCTCTTGTTTTTGCGCTTCCTCATCCGACTTTTAGAAGATCTTGATGCGATCTCATTTGTGTCAAATAACAACTCAACTCCATCCAGATGCATACACTCTGTCTTTGGACCGATGCTGAAAGTGCTCCCGTCTGCATGGAACAATCTACACCTCCATTGTTCTGATTCACTTTGAGACTCAACGAGCCCGTACTTGTGCACCAACTGCTTACATGCTCCCAACCTTGAGCGAGAACAGTCTACACCCGTGACACTTCCACAAAGGTGCAAAAGATCAGCAACCATTGCCAATTTGGCACCTGGAGCACAGCACAAGTCTAGCACATGCTCTCCCGGTTCAAGATTTAATAACTTTACAGCGTAACCCGACGAAATGTCGATACCGTAGACTTCACCTTTCTTGTACAGATCAACACTAGCCAATGGGGCTGAGACTGGCAGCGAATAAAAGCCGGGAAGCCACGGACAGCCTTTAGGTTCAAACTCTGCAGATACCTTTCTTGTTGCTTTTCGCGCAAGGTCCGCGGCGATCAATTGCAAGCGATCATCTTCGACCTTTCCAGAGTTGTTGACTTGCTTGAGTCTAGGCGTATAGAATAAGTTAGCGAGACTAGATGACCTCAGAAGACCGCAGCTCGTTACCGAATATAGCGCAATAAATCCCTTTTGGTTGTAGAACTTAAGAGATCGCTTGCGTCAATGTCATGATCTGTCAGAAAGCGCAGAAAGCCCGAGGATTCCCATATTTTACGGTCATTCCATTCTGTGGTTGCAGGTTTCGCCATTCGACATCTAACAAACTAACCTTTAATTATATTAGCTGTGTATTAACGGGTTACATCCTGTACACAAAATTACGTGCGTACATTCTTTGCAATTGAGAAACAAGAGCGATTTGATGATAGTAGAACTTACATACACGTGCAATATTACCTTAAATTTGTCCTAAATATATACATAGATATGCCTGACGCATGTGAACGTGCTCGCACCATTGGAATTATGATACTAAACGAATGAAATAATTGTATATTTATTGTGTGTTTTAATGCTCGTGAGCGGTCATATAGCTCACTTTATATGATACAATTAGACGAAATGACTGCATGTAAAAGATGTTTCAAAACTGATATTTTTTTTTCGAATGAAAGAAATCAACATTTCAAGGAAGAAGAGGTGCGAAATATGAAGAAATAGGTGCAACAAGATCTGATGAGACGCAGCTAACTTGCAATTGTACTTGAACAAGAAGAGCAACGCGTGGATAACCAACATCACGAACAGATAGTTTGATGTAGTCGCTATCGGCGTATTAGGCGCACGAAGAATGAAATGGCGGCACCAAGGCGATTTGCATTGCATTCAGCATTTCATATTAAATTTAAATGTGCTTTCGAAGCTAATTTTCCAGCGACAACAGTGCCAATTGGCTTTTCATTGGACGTCTCGGCAAAATGTGCTTATGAATCGTATCGAGCTCGGATGTGTCGAATTCTTTTGAGCCTCAGAGTAAACCTGATTTTGAAATTGTTGCTTTATTGCCGAACAATCTTTCCAGCATACTGCGTCACGTCAATATCAACTTTCATTCTGCGGTTCTTCCCATCTTTGTTTTTGTAAGATTGAACAGTGAAAATATCGTAGATTTCGTTTGTGACTATAAAGAGTAAAACGTGTGCAAAGCCTTGAAACTCATGGCGCCGCGTCAAATCCTGATAGACATGTTTCAGCTGTTGATATTTGATGGGATGATCTAAGGCCACCGTCGCCTGAACGTAGATAATACGACCATCTTGTGGGACGACAAGCACACCATCAAATGATAAAAAAGTCTTTGATAACGGTATGTACAGCACCAGTTTATTCTGAATTTCAGATGGCGCTTGAATAATTTCATACGCTGCATTTTTTATTAATGGACCATGTCGCGTGACAGTTCCGACAGAGCTACCTTCGAGTGCTCTCATACAAAATTCGCTGGTAGCAAGATCTTGCAGCAGGAACTTCTCGATTTCTTTGCCTCGCCACCACTGCAAATTCGGGGCTGGAGTCTGCAACAATCTGCGAATTGCATCAGCAGATTGAATTTGATAACGCACTTTCATGATCGCCTTGACTGCCGAGGATGAATATGTCCAGTACGAAAAGCTGGGCGCGTTCTCATCACGATAGAGCTTGAAAACAATATGCTTCATGTTTCCATCAAAATTCTCCTGCTCGAGTTGCCGTACCTGGTTCTTTAACTCACTGATATCACTCGGTATATCCATTTTCACACGTCGTAACATGTGATCAAAGTTTCCAGATGATGCAAACACTAATCTTGATTTGCCTCCAACGAGTCTGAACTTTCGAATCCACTCGTCTTGATCATCCAAGTGGATCGCATCGGCAAATGCCTTGCACTCAGCCTTGGTCCATGGATTCATATACACCTTAAAGCATTTCGTCTTGACAAATTGGTTGTAGTTAACAGTTCGCGGACTGGCAAACAGAAACGCACGGTTGAACCGTACATCTAACCACGATGCTTCACCGGCTTCATTTCCATCGAAAAATCCATCGTAGGTCCTTCCAGCATGCGGCGTATACGAACTCACGTAACAATAAGTTCTCCAAGTGAAGAAGATTAATGATCTATTTAGCGGGCGGTAAGCCACATCCTTATGTTTCGTCATGAACAACAGAAGCAAAAATAACCCAAACACCGACTTTCCAATCCCAGGACTGCCAACCACAAGAATTCTACACAGCGATGAATCTGACCTCATTTGTTGCTCGATGATTTCATAAAGGTCCCAATATTCCTGTCGGATGTACAAGCCTTTGTCAATCGATAAACCAAGGATTATCTTCGGAGTTTCCAACAATTTTCCAACCTTGAGTTCATCACCACCGTTAAATTTTTTTACAATCGCCTCCAATTCTTCCATTGCTTTCGGATTGATGGCATCCATTCGCTGCCGTTTTACGCCTCCATCTTCGGTCGGAACCACCACTAATACATGGATTTCTCCTTCGTTTGTCTCAAACTTATCTCCAAAATACTTCGGATTCTTAATCCACAACAACGGATTCATGTGCTCAAGAAACTGCGGATGTCTTTTGTCATACATAATCACGGCCTTCTGTTTTTCGTGAAGCGTCACAGTTGCTGCCCCCTCCTCATTTAGCCACGTGTCGCCTCTCTTGGCAAGGAATAACTCTAATTTGCTGGCAGCAAAATCATACTCCTGCTCCTTCTTAATGGCCCTTTATAAGTGGCCCACCGACTGGTTAGCGTCGATGTCCACAGGGAACACGCTTCCTTTCACACCAACGATCGCGCAGCAAAGCGTCACCATGTTCCCTCTTGCTGATTTTTTTCAACTGTGGAGTAGCTCTACAGTCATGGGCGTTCTCTCTATCCGTGTCTCAATCGATGAAATGGCGTCACGTGATTCAATACAAAAAATATATATTCATTTAGACAAATAGGATATTACGTATCTATCCGACTGGTAACAGTTCGTCATATTCGTTAGAAGCTTGTGAAGTGGTTGCCACGTCTCATATTTCAGCCAATCATATGCAACAACACCGGTTTACAACAACAGAAAGTTGGTCAGACAAGTGGACAAGACCACGTATACAAAAAAATAGTAACATGGCTGCTGATGCAAAAGCAAATACAATTACTTTAGCGTTATATCAAAGGAGTGTTGGTAGTGGTGTCGTTATCTCTGC